GGTAATCTTTTGTCAGTTCATTCATATACTTGTACCCAGGAAGTGTATTTTCGTCACAATAACCTTGTTTGCAACGCCGGGTGACCATTGGATAGACAGCTCTTTCAGAGCCAGTCCAATGAAGAATCAATGCTATGATTCGATGTTTTGTAAGTGGGTTAGATGCTACTAACCGCAACAAACGTGACCTGATGGTCTTGGTGGAATATTTGATAATAAGTAGTATATATATATATATATTACATACGCCTGACGCCAGACTGTGTGTCAAACAAATCGCAGTACAATAACCTTTAGGAAAAGTAAAAACGTTGCATGATTGGCTTGTGGGCGGAATACTGCCAGGTTGCCCAGGCCAAAGCAGGTGATTTTCTTCAGGAGTCCACACCCGGAGCCTTCGGCTAGTCAAAGCCTGACCAGTAAGGCAGCGGGGCGATGTGTGAAAACCGCAATCTATTGGGGCCCGGTGTCCAGTTCAACGGATCATACGTCCTTTGGGCGGGGTCAAACGTCCAATGTGTCCAACATACCTTGATGCCCAATCGAGCAGGTGATCACTACCACATCCGGTAAGGTGTGTGTGGTTCGTACGCCTCCTCTTGGTTGGTTTGCAACCAGGGCTTTTGGCCAAATCCCCTAGGTGAACTACCAGTGGTCCACCAACCCGGTTATAACCCCGGATGTTGGCTAAATTAATGAGTAGCTCTTATTTAAAATCCGTTGAAAAATCGTGAGGTATGCGGAAATACGCCAATCAAATCATGCTGTGTTTAAGAACCACCAAGGCAATACAGGGTTGAGAGACGTATAGAACATGACGAAATATGGTTACTTTAGCTAACTAGTGTGAACTGGACGAAGGAAAAGATAGTGAATCTAATTTACATTGGGAAAAATTTATGGTGAAACTCAACCATTTGGAGACTCACTTTAAGACCTCTCTCTTCCTCTGTTCTATCATCCACAGAAGCGGAAATGAGACCCCAACGGCAGTCCGTATCCAATAGATAACCACGAATAGCCGGTGATGCGGCACTCAGGGCCATAACGATCGGACAAATCGTTGCTAGTTGATCGTACAAAATACGGGCTTCTTCAATACAACAGGCCTGTGTGGAAAGGGGGATAAAACAGATTTTTTTGCAGGAAATTATATCTAACAGTCTACCAGATACAATGGAAGCTGAATAGGTCCATGATGTGCATAGTGTACTACTAACCTGGAATGTCATCTGTAAGCAGGAACAACCCATGCCGAATCCCATTGCATCCAGATACACATGGTCTGGTTTGGCATCACGGATAGAAAACGGGTCAGTTCCACCTGGTAAATGAGAAAAATCTTCCACAAACGGCTTCGGTGTATTAACATCCGGATAAACTTTAGAGAGGAAGAAGACAAAGAAGTGCGAAGGATGAACGAAAACTGTGTCAGAGATAGGTAGAATAGAAAGATGCTCGAAAAGTTCCAAGTGTTTGATTTTTACACTAAACAAATCACTAAATCTGAAGGTAATTGAAGAAAGACAACGAGACACCCAATACGAAACCGTCATCGTTTTGACTGAAAAATCATCACAGCAAGGCATTGGATCACGCGAAGGATCACCTTACTGACTGCCCGTATCCGATACTATGACGATCGAAAACAAAATTCACAACTACTTAAGTTTCGTAGGATAACTGAAATGGACCTTATTTGTGAGATTCAAGTGACTTGTTTCATGTATTTGACGTGTTGAGTAAAAACTACGGAAACAATATTGCCGTACTCCACACATAGTCATCAAAAACAAGGATTGGTTACACGCGAACAAAAACATTGTACAAACAGCACGCCCCATCCTTTGACGTATAGTCGGGAGTGGATGTCTCGGGTTGTGACTGGTCACTGTTTATTTGCACCTCACGAAATGCTCCTATATAACCAAGTGTTTCAAACCGCCTCTGCTTAGGAAGCCTTACTAACTGCCTCCTTGTGGTAGTGTTTCTTCACCAAAGTGAGAGGGTCGGTGAACCATTGGTAGTTCACCTATGGGAGTTCCCTAAAATCCATGATTCCAGACCAACCATGTGAGGCGTACGAACCATAGAAATACACACCTTGCTTGTGGCAGTGGTCACCGTCTCAATTGGGTACCGAAGTGTATTGGGCACCTTGGACGTTTGACCCCATCCAAAGGGTATA